CCCCTTCCCTACTGGGTCATTTACTCCAGCCTGATGGCAAACTCACATATGACCCTCATGCCATGGCTATAGTATTTGAATGTGACAAGAAACTTTATAATTGTCTATCTCCTGATATTCATCCCCTCATCCAGATGGCTGCTTTATCATCTTTCCGATGTCAATGCTTTGAGCGCTGAAGTTTCTATAGAAGAACTTCCATATGTTGTTAAGAACCTTCCCACTCACAAGTCCCCGGGACCGGACGGTCTTCCCTACTCATATTACAAATCCTTTATTGGCATCTTAGCCCCTCATCTTCTTAACATGTTTCAGGCTCTCCTGAGAGGGTCTCACCTACACAATGACTTTACACTCTGATACATCTCTGTGATCCCAAAGCCGGACAAAGACCACTCTCTCCCAGATAATTATCGCCACATAGCCTTATTGAACTCCGACTACAAATTATTCACAAAAATACTAGCCAATAAAGTGGCCAAATGTATCTCCAAACTTATACACAGAGACCAGGTGGGATTTGTCCCAGCTAGACACGCGGCGGATAACACTGACTTGATCGATCTTATCAACAAGTCCCCGAAACCCACTCTCTTGTTAAGCTTAGACACCCAAAAAGCGTTTGACATATTAGGTTGGTCTTATATGTTTTTCATCCTGGAGAGATTTGGATTCTGTGGTCGGTTTGTAAAAGCTTTGAAAGCCCTCTACTCCACTACCTCTTCCCAGGTCAAATTGGCTTCGTACTTATTGCCTACATTTCGGATGTCTAATGGAACGTGCCAGGGATGCCCTCTTTCCCTTTTTACTGTTTATCCTTTGTCTAGAGCCCCCAGCAATAGCTATCAGATCCAATCCTGATATTCGGGGGATACATACCCACAATAGTGATTTTAAGCCATCTTTGTTCACAGATGATATTTTATTAACACTGACAGAGCCTCACACCACTCTTCCTGTTCTGCATCGTACTTTCAAACTCTTTGGTGCCTTGTCCAGATATAAGGTTGTCACTTCTAAAACAGAAGCTTTACCACTTCACATACCCCTAGCGATTTTATCTTCCCTTAAGCTAAATTACCCCTACCACTGGTGCTCCTACTCCTTGAGGTACCTAGGTACCAACCTTACTTCCTCCTACCACTCCCTTTACAAAGCTAATTTTCCGCCCCTTTTCCAAACCATTACTCAATCCTTAAAATCTTGGAGCAAACTTGCCATCTCCTTCCTGGGAAGGATTAATGTACTAAAAATGACCATGCTGCCCAAATTCTTGTACCTGTTTGAGATGCTTCCAGTCCCTATCTCTATGTCCAAGCTATGTTCACTACAGAAATATTTCCTCCACTTTATCTGGCATAATAAATCTCACCAAATTGCCTGTACTACTTTTCACCGCAACCTAGAGGAGGCCTAGGGGCTCCATATCTTGTGACATATTATTTGGCTACTCATCTCCACACTCTCATTTCTTGGGTCTTCTTAGCGCCCCCTATAAATAAATGGTATGAGATTGAATGGCTGCAGCTACGTCCATTACACCTTGTTCCCTACTCTGGTCTATGACCCCCACTGAAATTGCCTCACATAAACACCGAATACTTGGGCCAATGCATTTCACATTGTGCATATGGAGGTGTTGTAGTGGTAGATTCTCTCTGTCCTCCCCTTGCTCGCCTCTAACCAATGCTGTACTTAATCCTAATCTTCCTGATAGCTTAACCCCTGCCCGTATCAGCTCCTGGGCTAAAGCTAATTTATTTTATCTGAGACATCTGGTGAACCCGGTGTCTCGGAAGCTTAAACCCTTTATGGAGTTAGAAAAATCTGCTCTCATGCCTTCTCATCAGCATTTTGTTTACCTGCAGATACAACATTTTTGCTCCTCCAAGATTCCCTCCCTGACTCTGGAGAAGCCTACTCCTTTTGAACGCATTTGCATTCAGGGTCCTTGCCAACGAGGCCTCATTTCCTCTATTTATAAACTATTACAAGACACCTGTCCCCTATCTACAGACATACATCTTTATATGCAGAAATGGCCCTAAATTCTTCAACAATATATCCCCCTAGATCAATGGAGCAAGATCTGGGAGGCCTTCTCCAGATCTTCTTCATGTGTGGTATATAAAGAAAATACTTATAAAATTTTGATGTTTTGGTACAAGACCACTGAAATCCTCCATGCTCGAATCAGAATATTTCTCCTGTCTGCTGGCGATATGGCAAGGAAAATGGCACCCTTTTTCACAACTTTTGGCTTTGCTAACAAATTCACCTTACTGGAGAGAGGTCCTAAGCCTTTTGCGGCTTCTTTTACGGGTTCATATCCCGTTTGACCCCATCTATTGTTTATTAGGCCTACCTTTTTGCATGCCTCTCCAAATTTGCCAAGAAACTATCTTCCAATGTCTTAACAGCGGCCAGGAGAACCATGCCCATACATTGTTTACTACACCTCCCTCACAGTCGGAACTGATAAAAGTTATTGGTGAGATTAGAAGAATGGAGTATTTAACTGCCATACATTCCAACCTTGTCCCCCTTTTCGAAGAAGTTTGGGATCCATGGGACCTTTCTATTTCCAATTTGTTTTTTCAGATGTCTGATTTCGCCGGCTAATCCACTGTAATCCTGTAACATTGTATGCATGTGCATTTTCATTGATGAGTCTGCTTCCTTTTTCTTTTGTTGATTTGTGATATATTTCACAATTCTCTGCAACTTCTTGTCTGTTGTATGCCTTTCAAAAACTCTCAATAAAAACATCATTTAACAAAAAAAAAATAGTTTTAGAGAGTGGTAGTCTTCCTCAAGGCTGTACAAGTTTCATTCAACAAGCATGCTCCTTCTATCGACTTACCAATTCTCTTGTCCAACCAAGCAGAGAATTCCTTAACTTGATAGATCTCAAGCCCAGCCCTAACAATAACGTTTTTTTTAGGCTGGGGAGAAGTGTTCCAGAACTTGGTCATTGGTGGAAACCAAGCTCCTCATCAACATCCTGGAGCTCAGAGCAATGAAGATTGCTTTGTAACACTGGACCCCTCTCTTAGGTGGCCACCCAGTCAGGGTGCAGTGAGACAATGCCAAGTCTGTGGCTTACATCAACCATCAAGGGGACATCAGAAGTCTTGCAGCTTTTAAGGAAGCAAACCAGATCATCTCATGGACAGAGGAACACTGTCCATTGACCTCTTCTATCTGCATCTCAGGAGTAGAAAACTGGAAAGCGTACTACTTCATCCATTATCACCTGTATCAAGGGAAATGGGCCTTCGGGATATTGACAGCCTAGCTTACTGATTCAGCAATAAATTACCTCAGTGTATAGTCTGAACCCAAGACATCTCTAATCTCAAGTGCCTTGATATTCCCTTGGTCTCAGTTCAGGCTAATCTATGCCTTCCTTCAGTTTGAATTCTGCCTTGTCTGCTCAAAAAGATAGAGCAAGAAGAAAATGGTAATGTTCACAGATGTACGCAGACTTGTAGCTGATAACCCCTGGTCACTTCCCAACTAGCTGTATCTGTTATCTCAAGGCTGTCTAATCCATCCTGCTTCTCAGTCTCTGGTTTTAAGAACGTGGTTGTTGAAGACTAGGTCTTAAAGGATCAAGGAGTTTCTCGGTCTTTTTCAAAGAACTTTAACTTTGCTCTCCCTTGTAAAAACCTTTCTTTAAAGGTGAAGGAAAAGATTTTTTGGCTGTACTTCTCCTGTGGATCACAGGAGTGCAGTTTGTTAGCACTCCTGTGACCTGTTTTTTCAGCTGACAGCGGACTGAAGTCAGATCCATTAGAGTCTACTTAAAGCTACAGTTTTGATCAGACAGAGGGATTACCTATTTGCCCTGTACTCAGGACCTTGCAAGGGACACCCTGCTTCCAGGTCCACCATTGTTTCAAGGATAAGATTTGATCACTAGAGCTCAAGGGTAAAGCTTCTGCACTATTACACGCCCATTTCACGAGATCAGTGGGAGTTTTCGGTCCATTTCGGCACCAGGCCTCTGTAGTCCAGCTGTGTAATGCCGCCACCTGGTCCTCTGTTCATATTTTTTGAAATTTCTACCAGATGTGTGTCCAGTCTTTTGTAGATGCAGCTTTCGGCTGCAAGGTTCTTGCAGTGGCACTCTGAAGTTGAATTTGTTGACCCGTGTTGCTAGCCCTTCAGTTCTGTTTGCCTAGTTGTTGTCCACCCTTTTCATTCATTGCTTGGGGATGTTCTAGGGTGTATGAATACTTTGTCTTTGTCCTGTACTGTACAATTAACATAGATTGTTGACTGACCTGTAAATTCCATATCTTAGAGTACACAGGCTGCCCTTCCTTCCATTCCTTTATTACTCTACATTGTGTGTGTGTGGTTTAAAAGCTCAGAATACACTGGGTGATGTAGGGTTATAGGGGAAGCAGCCAGTGGGTGTCGCTTCAAAAGCATGCCAGAGTCTTTCACCTGAAGGTATGAGCCTATAACCTTATACTTTGCCTGTGTCCTTTACTGTACTCGAAGATATGGAATGTACAGGTAAATAACCGTTCCATTTATCATTTATGCTTTATATCTTTTGTACATGCTGCAGGTGTTCCCTGGTCTTATTGCTTTACGAAAGATCTGCAATCATCCTGATTTGTTCAATGGAGGCCCCAAAATTCTAAAAGGGACAAGAGATGAGGATTTGGAAGAAGGTGAGGAGTTTGGTTACTGGAAGCGCTCTGGAAAATTGATAGTTGTTGAGGCGCTGCTGAGAATCTGGCACCGGCAAGGACACCGAGCTCTCCTGTTCACTCAGTCACGACAAGTGAGTAAAAGCATTAATTCTCCCAAATGTTTATATCCTTACTTAACACATATGCTTTAATTCGAAGAGTACTTTTTAAATTACACGAGGGTGCTTCATCTCTACTATCTCCAGCTCCTGCCCATTACCAGACAAGAAAAGAGAGGGGAATCTCCATGATATCATATACACATGCGTATTATTAATACGTTTCTGGTTAGTGCGCATTTCTAACTTTTGCACTGGGAATCAGCGAGCACCATTACTGGACTGTGATTTATTTATTTATTGATTTTTTTAGTCATTTATTCATTTGCTTTGGTTTCATTTATTATTTATATTTGCCCGCAATATAGTAACATCACACAGTGCTGCATTTTCTTTATATATATCTCCTGTAGTATGTCCGCAGTCTCTGGTCATCTCCTGTAGTATGTCCGCAGTCTCTGTTCATCTCCTGTAGTATGTTCGCAGTCTCTGTTCATTTCCTGTACTATGTCCGCAGTCTCTGTTTTTTCTCCTGTACTGTTTCCGCAGTCTCTGTTCATCTCCTGTTCTATGTCCGCAGTCTTTGGTCATCCCCTGTACTGTCTGCAGTCTCTGGTCATCCCCTGTACTGTCTGCAGTCTCTGGTCATCCCCTGTACTGTCTGCAGTCTCTGGTCATCCCCTGTACTGTCTGCAGTCTCTGGTCATCCCCTGTACTGTCTGCAGTCTCTGGTCATCCCCTGTACTGTCTGCAGTCTCTGGTCATCCCCTGTACTGTCTGCAGTCTCTGGTCATCCCCTGTACTGTCTGCAGTCTCTGGTCATCCCCTGTACTATCTGCAGTCTCTGGTCATCCCCTGTACTATCTGCAGTCTCTGGTCATCCCCTGTACTATCTGCAGTCTCTGGTCATCCCCTGTACTATCTGCAGTCTCTGGTCATCTCCTGTACTGTGTCTGCAGTCTCTAGTTATCTCCTGTACTGTGCAGTCTCTGGTTATCCCCTGTACTATGTCTGCAGTCCATTGGTTCAGAATATTTTTTTTTCTCTTGTTTTCCTCCTCTAAGGCGCGTCTTGTGGAGCGAAAAATACGATAGTTCAAGATTAGAAAAATATGGATCTCCCACTTGTGATTTCACTTGGTGGTCAACTTAAAAATTACAGAGAACTTCAGTGTTGGATGGATCCTTTTTAGTAAGTCTACTTTCTTGGTAGCACTTACCAAACTTCTTCAATCAACTTCCCTCACTGGCTATTGGCCATAGCATAATCTTGCACAGCTTCCGGATTGGTGCCCTGCAGCGTGTGCTCCGGAGATTGTATTCAGACTCCACCAGAGAAGACACGGGGCCAGCCTGTAAAGTTTCTTTAGGCATTGGATCCTGCATGAAGGGCCCACCTTGGAAGGTAGCGCAGCACATTGGGTTAGCCACAAAGTGCTAGGACAGAGGTGATCCACAAAGGGTATGTCCCAGTCGTTGAACATCCCCTCACCGAAGGGATATGCCCTTCTGAAATGAGTGGAGTCAAGAATTTAAGGGTTAATCTCTCCTCTTTCCCAGAGTTGAATGTTGGCTGAACCTTGAGAGTCCCTTGATGCCCCCTTCTTCTTCCTATGAGTGGGTATCCACTTACTGTCCCAGTCCCCCCTTTCTATCTCAGTTGCTGAAGTTGCTGGGTTAAGAGACAGGCAGTCTGGAGTTAATCTTGCTGCTCAGGCACTGCAGCAGACCACACTCTCTGGGATCCTGAACTTGGCATGCGTCAGATGGTGTGTTACCCATATTTTCACTCTGCAGCATTGCAGGCATGTTTCCCGGCATTGCAACATTGTGCCAGAACAAGAAGCTTATGGAGACCAAGCTCAAGGGCAGAGTGATGTGTCGAACACAGGGAGGACCCCCCTTCCTCACCTTCTTCATTTTCTAGTCGCAATAAATACCCTGTCAAGGGCACTCCCCCTCACTGTATGGCTAACCTAAGGAAAGAAGGCCCTAATGTTGCCCTGGCTGCCAATGGAGCTGAAGGGAATGTTCTAACCCCTGCTTGGAATTCAACCTCTGATAGCTTTCTTGGTTTTCCCTCCCACTCAACTCTTTCCCCTCCTGAGACATTTCTATGGCCCCTTCTCGTGTTCCACACTTTTCCTGCCTTAGAAGTATTTTGTGGCATCTACATGCACCTTTGTGGGTGAGATCTTGGACCTGATACAATCCACTGCGCGTCAAGATCACAAGCGACCCCCCCCCCCCCCCCCCCCCCCCAGCTATTTTGCTGCTAAAACTCTGTGATACTATTTAAGTGTTGCTCAATGAGGTGAGAACTTGCCTGCTGTTGGAACTGCTGGAGGCCTCCCACCCTAGGTCACCTTAACCACAAGCCTACAGGGCACTTATACCCCCTTCTTGCCCAGGCCAATTTCCAGCTTTCAGTGCTGTCGCACTTTGAATGAAAATTGCGCGGTCATGCGACATTGTACCCATATGAAATTTTTATAATTTTTTTGTGACAGATAGAGCTTTATTTTGGTGGTATTTAATCACCTCTGGGTTTTTTTTCTTAAACCAAAAACCACTGGAAATTTTGAAAGAAAAAAAAGTTTTTTTCTTAGTTTTTGTTATAAAATTTGCACTGATATGCGCTAATGAGGCTGCAGTGATGGACACTGATAGGCTGCACTGATGGACACTGATGAGGAGGCACTGGTATGTGGCACTGATGGGCATTGACAGGCATCACTGATGGGCACTGAAAGGCAGCACTGATAGGCGGCACTGACTGGCACTGATTGGTGGCACTGACTGGCACTGATGGGTGACATTGAAAGGCAGCTCAGATGGGCACTGATAATGTGGCATTGATGTGGCGCTGATGGGCACTGGCACGAGGCACTGATGAGCACTGACAGAAGGCACTGATGGACACTGACAGGTGGCGCTGCTGGGGCTACACTGATCATCAGGGCACACTGATCATCAGTGCCCTGATGATCAGTGTACATGTTCCCTCCGCGGAAAGCCGATTACCAGCTCTCCTCTCGAGCTGTCAGCGTGACCGCTCGAGAGGAGAGAAATGACGATAACCGGCATTTCCCTGTTTACATGTGATTAGCTGTGATTGGATACAGCTGATCACATGACCGAGCCGACATCTTCGGCTCTTTCCGTGGATCGGTGATCCGCTGTGTCCGAGGGCATATACAGTCAGGTCCATAAATATTGGGACATCGACACAATTCTAACATTTTTGGCTCTATACACCACCACAATGGATTTGAAATGAAACGAACAAGATGTGCTTTAACTGCAGACTGTCAGCTTTATTTGAGGGTATTAACATCCAAATCAGGTGAACGATGTAGGAATTACAACAGTTTGCATATGTGCCTCCCACTTGTTAAGGGACCAAAAGTAATGGGACAATTGGCTTCTCAGCTGTTCCATGGCCAGGTGTGTGTTATTCCCTCATCCCAAATACAATGAGCAGATAAAAGGTCCAGAGTTCTGTTGCTGTCAACTCTCAAGATGAGATCCAAAGAGCTGTCACTATCAGTGAAGCAAAGCCATCATTAGGCTGAAAAAACAAAACAAACTCATCAGAGAGATAGCAAAAACATTAGGCGTCGCCAAAACAACTGTTTGGAACATTCTTAAAAAGAAGGAACGCACCGGTGAGCTCAGCAACACCAAAGGACCTGGAAGACCACGGAAAACAACTATGGTGGATCACCGAAGAATTGTTTCCCTGGTGAAGAAAACACCCTTCACAACAGTTGGCCAGATCAAGAACACTCTCCAGGAGGTAGGTGTATGTGTGTCAAAGTCAACAATCAAGAGAAGACTTCACCAGAGTGAATACAGAGGGTTCACCACTTAACAAGTGGGAGGCACATATGCAAACTGTTGTAATTCCTACATCGTTCACCTGATTTGGATGTTAATACCCTCAAATAAAGCTGACAGTCTGCAGTTAAAGCACATCTTGTTCGTTTCATTTCAAATCCATTGTGGTGGTGTATAGAGCCAAAAATGTTAGAATTGTGTCGATGTCCCAATATTTATGGACCTGACTGTATATGCCAATAAAGCTGTATTAATTGAATACATACAGGTACAATAACCTCATAAAAAGATTAAAAATTGTTCATAATTTAATGGTGAAAACATATGAACAATGCTTCACAAAGAGATCATCAGATGTACAAATATGAAACCCCAACACAAATGTATAAATATTAAAAAAAATTCTCTGTTACCCAAAATGTAGGGGTCTATTTTTTTTTTACATTAAGCTGTTCACATTTAATTTTTTAGCACTATAAAATATAGCTTAATGTGAACAGCTTAATGTAAAAAGAGCTTAACGTACCATAATGTGCCTAAATCTCAATCAATTGATTTGAAACTTTGCACAGCCCAAGTTCTCAACATCCCAAACATGTCCAAGAAGTTTCATAGATTTTGGTCTTCCACATAGAAAATGGGGGACATTAAGCTTGTTTTTTGGGGAGCTTAATGCGGCTTAACGTACAAAAAAGAGCTTAGATGTTTACCATTTTCCCCTAAACTTCACACAATAGAAGTCTCTATATATGGCAACATATTCTGAAAATTTCAGATCATTTTGTAAATCACACCAAACGTTATTCACATTAAACTATATTTTACAATGCTAAAACATATAATGTTAACAGCTTAATGCAAAAAGAGCTTAGATGTTAACCAATTTCCCCCCAACTTCACACAATACAAGACTCTACATCAGGGACAGACTGACAACTCATGGGGCCCCCGGGCAATAGGGGATAATGGGGCCCCTGTGTCCTTGCCCAAACTCAACAAAGCCTATGAAAAAGGTACCAGGGGCATCTCATGGGCCCCCCTACTGACCCCGGGCCCTCGGGGAGTGCCCAAGTTACCAAATGGTCAGTCCGCCCCTGATCACGGGTACTGAATTAAAATTCATGGAGGTCCGGTTTTTAATATTTTCTTTCTGCAGAGGTCCGAATCTCATTTTTCTTCTATAACTCAGGTCTTTAACGTCACAGCCCCTTTTCAATTAATATCCTCAGTCCCCCTTTTCCAATCACACCTCTCTTTACATCACAAATCCCTTTCACATCAGAGCCCCCAATATTCCAGCCCCGCTTACATCACACCCCCCTTGCAATCATAGACCCCTCTCTCGCATCACAATCGCCCTTGCAATCACAACCCCCCCCCATCACAGCTCACCCCCTCTTGACATCACAGCCCTCCTCCACACATCAGAAACCCTTCTTCATATCACAGCCCCCCTCTCACTTTACAGCCCCCCCATATCATAGCTCCCCCCTCACATCACAGCCCCCGTTTCACATCACAGCCACCCATATCACATTACAGCCCGCCCATATCACAGCTCCCCCTTCTTACATCACAGCCTTCTTCATAAATGTATGGCAAAATTAATTCTGCTACATGTTTTTGTTAAAAATCCAAATAAGATTATATTAAACATTTTGCATGAAACCTATAGCATCTATAAATGATGGTATATAAACAGGAATTTTTATTCATTTATTTTTTGCACTACTAATGGGCGGTCATCAGCGACTTATTTTGGGACTGGGATAGTGCGACGGACAATCTGACACTAACTGATGCTTTGTGGGCACTGTCTAACTGACACGCATTACAAGCGACACTAAGATTTGATAGTTCAAAATCGCATGACAAGTCACACCCTATTGTTGGCAATGAAACTGTTCAAATCGGTGCAACTCTGACTTTGCTGTATCATACCGATTTGAAAAAAAAAGCACGATTTTTTGTGATTTCAGGTGCAACTTGCATAGACATCTGTGAATGAAGTCCCACAGATGTCACGCAAGTCACACCTGCAATTGCACTGACCTGCGACTTTAATATGGTGCTACTTCAAGTGAAGTAACACGATTTCAAAGTCACATTCAGTGTGAACCAGGGATAATACAGTGATCAGTGATAATACTATGCTCTGTCACTGTAATAATGACACTGGCTGGGAAAAGGCTAAACATCTAGGTTGATTAAGGGGTTTACTGTGTTTTTTTTTTTTTTTTTTTTTTACTAAAGATCGATTTACTGTGCTTCGCACGGGAAAGAAATACAGCAATCTGTCCCTCTGTATTGTTGACCAATACACAGCTCTAGGCTGTGATTTGACACAGCTGATCAGCAGATCTACTGACATACTCCTGGTAGGTAGGTGGGCAGGGGCATGCGTGTGCATGCCTGAAATCTGAAAGAGGCCAGCCACGAACGGGTACTTTGCAGCATATGTAGCTACCGCCCCTTCTCTGTAAAAGTACTGTGGCAGGTCGGCAACTGGTTAACATTTTAAAAGGGAAGCAGAAGCGGGCAGGAATGGTTTATAAAACATACACTTTTATTTATAGTTTTTAGATGCAGTGCTAACAATTAAACCATTGCAGATTGTGTGTTATTATATGTTTTTATTATTAATTATAGAGAGAGGGAAGGAGAGAATAAGAGGGAGAGAGCTAGAGAGAGAAGGGAGTGAGAGAGAGTGGAGAGAGAGGGTGGGAGAGGGAGAAAGAGGGGCGAGAGAGGGAGAGAAAAGTGGTGGGGGAGAGAGAGGGAAAGAGTGAGAGGGGCGAGAGAGGGAGAAGGGCGGGAGGGGGAGAGAGAGGGCGGGAGAGGGAGAGAGAGAGAAAGAAGGAGAGGGGGGGGAACGAGACTCTCAATATCACTACATATCAAAGCATGGCAGGCTCCAATTGCTCATCTCACAGCACAAGGAGACAAAGCAAAGCGATACTAAAGCCTATCAGTCTTTCCCGTACTCTCAGTTGTCAGTAAAGGCAGAGAAGGGCTGTTGGTGCAGGGCAGCAGAATTTTCACGAAGGATATTGCAGGTCTGCCAGTGTAGGATGTTCAGCTGCTTCCTCCAGCTGCTTGCTCTGCTCAGGCTGCCCCCCCCATCTCTAGTTACACTCTCTTGTTCCTCCAGCACAGAATGCCATCCTCTGTCTCTCTCTTCCTGGCTCCCTTAATCATTCACAGCTCTCAGACTCTTCCTTAGTCATGGTAAGCAGGGCAGACAATGGAGGAGGTGGAGCAGCTCAGTAGAATAAAGTTGGAGCCTCCTGGCTGTCAATTCTGCGGCTTTGCATATACGTGACTGGTTGCTAGATACCAGGCAGTCCTAGCAACCAGTGATTTCACTGGGGGACATTGGGCAGCAGCTACCAGAACTGGAAAGCTGGTCTTCCGAAAGCTGGTCTTCGGATGGTACAGCAAACAGAGGATTCTGAGGCAGCTGTGATGCTACCCCAATGTGCAGGCAGCATGGGTTACAGACTCCCTTGGATGCAGCCGTTCAGAGCAGCCCAGGGGGGCTGTCATTCCTAGGACACCACCTCCGATAACAAGAAGTTGGATTACATATTCAGGCAGGAGATAAGCAACAAGAACATGTAAAAAAATGTTTTTGCCTAGAGTTCTCCTTTAAATGTGAATAATCTTTAGTCTGTTTTACCAAACAACCTGAGATTTTTATAATATTTTGGCATAGATAAAGTCTTCTACTGTATACATTTTGAGGAAATTGGATAACATATAAGCTCTCTTTTGTATTTTAAGCCACAATTAGTTCCCCTAAAAATAAGCACAGCACCCCCCTGACCCCCAGAGGCATAGCGTGGACCCTCAGAGGCAGGGAAGGCTGACATTTTGTTTTCGGGCAGATCCTAGGCCAGTGAAGTGATGCGCGATCAAAGAAAGGTTGGGCGCTAGTTAAAGTACATCTTTGAATGCTTTATTGGGGAACTCCATAACTGGGAGATGGGGCATAGGGTTTAGAACATCCATGTCAAAACTATATTAGAAAAGAACTCCAGACTCACCAGACCCTTTCAGTGTGTCACAGTGCAGAATCAATGGGGCATGGAAACCTGGGAGTCTAATGCCGGAGTTAGGAGGACGGAACTGTACAGAGCCCGCCACGAGTTACAGAGGGGAGATCCAAGGCAGAGGCCACTAAGCTTGAGAGCTCCCAAACATCAAAGGAGATCTTGTGAGACCCCTGAAGATGAGTTAACAGCTGATGGCCAGCCAGTGGGTGAGTTTCCGCGGGAGGCGGTAAATCCCTAAAGCTGAGGTCGCGTATGCTATTGTTGAGGCTGGGAGATGCGTGGATACAACATCCGTTTCCCTGGGG